GAGCCGGGCAGCTTTCCTCAGCCGCTTGGCAGGAGAGCTGTTCTTCTGGCTGGTTCAGTACCCGCCGAGGTGCAGCGGCTTTAAGCCCCGTGTATGGAAATGGGAGGCTCCTCCCTAGCTTGCTCCTGCAGCCATATGACTGAGGGCAAGCAAAACCCGGGGGCAGCTGACCCCCACGCCTCCGGGCTTGGGCCTGCACGTAGGATGCCCACCAACGGTTTTGGAAACATCTGAAGCCCAGGTGCGGGTGGAGGATGTTTGCCGGTAGTAGGACCACTTACGGTTCTGGACTCTTGGATTTGGAATTAGTTTTGGCTAATTTGGCCTGGATACAAATTATATACATAAATATAGTTCAAGGGCCACTTATGGTCCTGGACTGACTCATGGATTTGGACTTGATTTGGCTAGGAACACGAAAAATGTCTTTAGAAAAAAATCCAAAGCCCTGCTGGGGGGAGACAGGTGGGGCTGGTGCTGCTGTGAGCAGGGCCTTCCCGAGGCCCCTCGTGTGCTTTGGTTGTTTCGTGGGGGGACCCTTTGTGCGGAGGTGAAGGGGGCTGAGCATGCAGCTGGCACACGGGGAGCTGCCTGCCCGCACCTGGGCGCTGGGCTCTCTCCGGGCAGCGCTGCCCCCACCCCGCCCCGCACAGCCCCCAGCACCTAGGCGGGGAGCTGTCCCCTTTCCCCTCCTGGTCCCCGCAGCGCTGCCATGCCCCGCCACCCTCCTGAAAAAAAGAGATGCTTTGGAAAACGGGCTCTTGCCAGACGGAATCGCATCCTGCTGACAAGAGCGAGATGCCGCTTTTTAAAGCGCTTCAGGTGGGTTTTCAAGGCAGGCTGTGTCCTTGTAACGCCATAGTTGAAGCCAGGGCATTTTCGCTCCACGCGCAATGACAGGCGTTCCTGGGAAGGCGCCTAGCCATGGGCCCGGAGCTGGCGCACAGGAATAACTAAGGACACCTTGCAGACAGCGGGGCTTTGTCGATGGGGACTGTAGCCTTTGCTCAAGGATGTGCAGCGTGAGCTCGCCTCCAAGGTGCGGGAAGACGGGTGCAATCCCCGCAAACCAAATCCAACAAACACTTGGGAGGGCAGAGCCTTAATTCGGTTTCTGCGGGGCTCCGCTCAGGGCATGAACACCGCCACTGCTTGCTGCTTCGTTAGCCACATTTTTCCCCCGCTTCACCACGGGAAGGAGGCGTTGGTTTTTTTCCCCCTAGTGCAACTTCGTATCTACGAATATTTAAAATGCTTTTCTTACGGGCTTAATTTTAAACAGCCCCGTTTGGTTGTTCTTGCTCGATTGCTCTTTTAAAAAATAAGACTTTTCAGGGGTTTCCAAAAATCTGGAAGGTTCTCCAAAAAGACACGTTTCTTTTCTCGTTTTATTTTCAGGGGTGGAAAATCCAAAGTAGAAGTGAATACGGAAACCACCTGGGAGCTCAAATGTGTGCATTTCGCAGCTAATCGCCAACCTTACCAGAAGTGCGGGTGCATTCATATGTGTACATATATGTATACACACGCCTCACCGAAAAGAAATCCAGGCATTTATTGTTAAATAAGACTAAACGGGGGGGGAAGGGAGAGAGACGCATGGGCTTAGAAAGATATATGTGAATACTGAAGGTGTTTGGGGAAACGTATCGTTCAGTTTGGACACTGCATGTTTACACAATGTATAGACAAGATTTGCAGGGATGTAGCGAGCCCCATCCATTTCCCCTTGACAGATGACCTGAAAGGCAGCCTGTTAATTTCAGCTCGTATCACAAGGACCCGATTATCGCCTGCATTTCTGCCGCTAGACAAAACAACGGGATCCCTCTCTTTTGGAGAAGAATTAACGAGGTGCGGTCTTTCAACTGGATCCAAGCTGGGCGGTGAAAGTCTTTCATATGACCTGCTGCTTTCTTTTCCTCTCAGGGCAGCTCACCCACCGATCAGCAGAAAAACAAAAGTGCTCACCACAATTTTTCTTTCGCCTCTTTTTAAAGCTTCTCCTTCATAGATAGATAGATAGATCTAGATCTATACCTGTCTATATCCTATACATATATTTATCTATATCGATATGTAGATATAGATCTCTATATAACTATATAACTATATATATAAGCTTCACCGTCATATATATGGTGTGTATATATATATATATATATATATA